AACTATACAGACCTTTGTTGGCAAGGCGATGCCTCTGCTTTTTGAGATGCTTTCTAGGTTTGTCATTGCTTTTCTCCCAAGAAGCAGGCGTCTTTACATAGGGAGATTTAAAGTTGAATTCTGGTTGAGAACATAAATGAAAAGGGATAAAAACCAGGGGAAGAACTTGCTCCTATTGCTTAAGTTCGAAGAATGTATGTAGATCATAACAACTGACATATTTCTGTCTGGCAATTTCCAGACACAACCTCACTGTCAGCACCTCTAAAGTTCATAGAGCTGTAGCAAGAAGTACCTTTTCTGGTAGTTTTTCTCTATTGTTAATATTTGTTTTGCTCTCTGAACTAATCCTGTTCCGAATCCCACCTGTATATTTTATTGAAATTTTTACCCCTTGAAAGAAGCAGTCTTTTTTTCCTGTCTCTTTCTCGGAAAATGGGTAATCTTGCTGAAATTCAAGGTTGCTCACTTACATTAATGTGACAAGATCACTAAAGGGTGCTGGAGGGTTGCTTTTAACTCCTCTTTTTTTAATAAAAAAAATCTTAATATTTTCTAGTAATCTACAACTCCCCCAACCATTTCATTTCTTGGAATACGCTACATCATGATTTTACATCATTACTTTGTATATTAGATTACATCATTATTACCTCCCAGGGGTATTCCAGGAAACAACCCTCCCAGGGAAAGCTGCAGAGGACCAGAGAGCAGTGTGAATATTATTATTTTTGAAGTTCAAGGCAAGAACACACACAGCCCTTGGCCACCTTGTAACACAAATTATTAAAGTTAGTGATTGACCTTAAAATTTCACCAGAAAATCTTGTTTATCTTCTCCACTTCTTAGGGTGATTGCTTTTGCACCTCTTCCCTGGAAATAGCAAAGAAACACACAAACAAACCCTGCAGCTGAAATCACTGGAACAGCCGTACCCAAAACATATGTCAAGTTCTGACATATTTTCATATCTGTCACAGTCATCCATAACAAAGCTTGCCATGAATTAAGGAACCCACTGTGTTGCTTTGCCAAATGGGTTTATTAAATGGCAGCAGGATTTCAAGTTGTTTAGCAACTTAAGTCATCTCCACTGTTGTTCACCTTCCCAGTGGAGGTCAAAGGACTTGTGAACATTATTGCACTCTTTCTGACCCCACCAAACCACAAACATCTTTATCCCCCTTGCTGGCAGTGTTCCTCTGTCCCTGAAGTACAGAGACATTAGTCCGAAACCTTGTTCTACTCCACTGTAATTCCAATGCCTTCTGTATTTCCCATGCCCTCTTGCTGCTTCCACCTGGAAAGTCCCCAGCAATTCTATTATCTTACAGTCAAATCCAGGAAAAATAATTGCTAACGTTAAAAATGCTGCTGTTCCTCCTTATCTTAAGTCACTTCTTCATCATTTCAAATATTGCAGTATGGCATGCATATTTCGTATCTGGTATTGCTTCCTTTCTAACAAAATACATTTGGCATCAAAGGCAAAGTGAAGGGGAATCACAGTAGCATGAAACAGCAACAAACACACCTAGCTGAGCTCTGACTTGTATCACTGGAGGAAAAACTTGATCTTCTGCTTAGCAAGTGAGATATTTCATTTGATATTTGATATTTGTATGATGGCTTTCTAAGAGAAAATCAAACTCAAGGCATCTTACCAAAAATAAATAAATAAATCACACAACATTAAAACAAGTGCAGTAAATATGCTAGCAGTAAAAACAGTATAATTTTAAAAAGTTAGCAACCGAGGCTCAAATATCAAAAACAGCTCTTACTTAAAAAAAAAAAAGGTGTGCCAGAAATTGCAGCTAATAAAAGATTACTGATCAGTACCTCACTTACATCATTTCCCAAGATAATAATCTCCATGTCAAATGTCAGTTCATACTGTGAAATATATATATTTATATAGTGGATTATATTAATATAAAATATGTATATACAGGTTCAATGCTTCCATATATAATTTTGAACTAAGAACATGACTGGAACCTTCCCCTATCAATACATACCTCTTTATGGAAAAAAAGTCCTAGGCTAAACACTTTAATAGTTCCACCACTACCTTATCTTGATTCGTTGTGCAATGTGCCCTTACTTGTGATATATTTTGTTTATTTACAAAGTGGTTTAATAACATGTTTCTCAAAATATGTTCTTTTATTCAGTCTCAGAACTAAATGATTAGCTTCGCATGATTAAGTTTACAACAGTATCATGTTTTATTTGGTGATTTTTAATACATTTTCCTTTTGTCTTATTTGATCATTATTTACAATGATTCTGTTGTGTCTTGATGCAAATGGTTTCCTTTGCCCTTGATGATCTGTTGTCACCAGCACTATTTTTTACTGTATTGGGGAAAACTTCCAGTGTGCTAGAAATCTGTCCTGTGTCTGTCTTACGCCTCCAACCATTTGGACTACTTAAGTTATTAAAAGAGTTAGATATCAATTATAAAGCACAATTCTCTCTGCTGCTAAGGGTGAGGTGGCTGACTCGCATTTCACCATTACAATAAGAAATTGACTTGTGTTTGTAATGTGTAGTGGTAGCTTCAGTTGCATTGAGGCCATGTGTACACAGGGAACTCCATCACTCTACCACGCACAAGGTATTGGTGAAGCTGGAACTAACCATAGGATAGGATACCATACCATATCAACATGGTGTGCCTTGATAATACGTCTGTTAAGGGTTTGGCCTTAACAGCTGTAATTCCCCTACATTTTGAAACCTGAGTGAACATGGAAAGCTTTACTATATCCAAAGCATGGTGATGACAGCGGTGTTAATTTAGTATTTATGTAATGTGATGCCTCTCTAGGAAGCTTTCTTACTGTCCTTTGACAGTGACTGCATCTTTGGCACCACAATGTCTTCTGATCTCTGCACCGTCACAGAAAACTCAGTAGTGGTGAGAGGGAGGGAATATGGGAGCTGTATACAGAAATGCTCATGCAGCGTGTCTGCCTTGTAGTTCTGTTTATAAAACAAGTATTGCATTAGTGGTGTTTTGCTTGCAAAAAATAACGTTGTGGTTATTTTAAGTCTGATTTTGAAAGCTATTATTACTGTGCGAAGAGGGCTTTGTCCTCCTTTCCTTCCTACATACTTGGAATCACTGCCCTATTCTTTCAAGAACTGAAGTGTGTGTGTGTAGTACAAAATGTCTGTAGCTGCTCAATCTGTTTATTTCACATGCAAGGAGGGAATATCACACATTGTGACTAAGTGGCATTTAAGACGTCAAGAAGAGTTAGATTCTGCGTTTCTTAACAGGCAGCTCTTGCAATGAGGAGTCACCCTGGCATTTTCCTTCTTGTTTCTTTTGCACAAAGGCCCACCTGCCGCAAAATGTGGAATTGGGATTTAATTTAAATGATCCGTTTTTAACACGGCTTTAAAAAAAAACACACCACAAAATCCTGTGGAAAAGCCTTTGTCACTTTTCGCAGTGCTGCACTGGGGTGGGGTGGAATCTGTGCTGCTGGCATCAGGAGAAGGTTATTATTGGCAGCTCCTGCCCATTCAAAGACGACATGCAGCCTATGTTCTCATGAGAACTATAATCAGGCTTCTCCTCACCCCCTGAAGGCGCCAATCAATACCTGCGTATCTCTTCTCGGTTGCCTGCTGCACAGGGTATTGGCATCTCCTCTCATAGAGCACGCTCATTAAGCAGATGTGTCTGTCTCCTTGATCAGACTTCCTGTCACGCTGCGTTCTGTGACCTGGCTAATCCCTTGTATTCAGTATTTCCTGTGAGGGGAATAGGCCTGCAGTAGCAGTCAGTATCAGGCCTGCAGTGCTTGTGCGCTTGAAAGTATATTCACTCAGGTGATCATGGCGAATAACAGAACTGTCGTAATGTCATCGCTACCATAGGCATCCTTCATGCACGGAGCGTACTCACAGAGAAGGAGGCAGCTCACCCCACCCAGCAGATATCCTTCCTTTGATATGGATATTTGCATGGAAAGATCTGACATCTGAGCAGCTGCTCAAACATAGGCTTTCTGTTTGCAGACATCCAATGCATCATGCCCAATTCAAAGTGCTGCTTTTAAGCTATAAAGCCTTAAACGGCTCAGGACCGCGGTACCTCAAGGACCACCTCTTTCCATATGAACCTTCCCAGACCCTGAGATCATCTTCTGAGCCCCTTCTTCATGTGCCTCCTCCTCGAGAGGTCCGGAGGGTGGCAACACGAGAACAGGCCTTCTCTGCAGTGACTCCCCATCTGTGGAATGCTCTCCCCAGGGAAGTTCACCTTCATTATACAGCTTTATAGGTAAAGGGATCCCTGACCATTAGGTCCAGTCGTGGCTGATTCTGGGGTTGCGGCGCTTATCTCACTTTATTGGCTGAGGGAGCCGGAGTACAGCTTCCGGATCATGTGGCCAGCATGACTAAGCCACTTCTGGCGAACCAGAGCAGCGCACGGAAACGCCGTTTACCTTCCCGCCGGGGAGGTACCTATTTATCTACTTGCACTCTGACCTTTAGTCACCTTTAGTGACCTTTAGTCACCAGGAAAAATCTTCCTTTTTAACCAGGCATTTGGTTGATCTGATTGACACCCTTTTAAGTTTTTTGAGGGCGCTATTGGGTTGTCGTCTTTATTTTTATTATGTATTTTGTGGTTTTATATCTTGATTTTATCCTGTGAGCCGCCCTGAGACCCCGGGGTAAAGGGTGGTATATAAATTCAGTAAGTAAGATAAAATAAATCATAGATGTCCAGGGGTGGTGCTAATGTCATGTACAAGGTTGGAGGAGGAAGAAGAAAAAGAAGAGTTTGGATTTGATATCCCGCTTTATCACTACCCGAAGGAGTCCCAAAGCGGCTAACATTCTCCTTTCCCTTCCTCCCCCACAACAAACACTCTGTGAGGTGAGTGGGGCTGAGAGACTTCAAAGAAGTGTGACTGGCCCAAGGTCACCCAGCAGCTGCATGTGGAGGAACGGAGACGCGAACCCGGTTCCCCAGATTACGAGTCTTTCGCTCTTAACCACTACACCACACAAACAGCCTTGCTGTCTCTTTCTCCACAAGTAGGTTTCGGTGGATACAGAAAAGCTGAACGGAGCTTTGGTGATGGTAGGAACACTACAGTTCAGTCATTAGCCAACATTGCCTGGACAAATCTGCATGAGAGCCCACAAGCACAGCTGAACGGATCATGCAGGCTTATTTTGCACACAGGAAATGCTTGATACAAGGGGTGAGCGAGGGAAATGCTTGATACAAGGGTTCCCACTGGGCCATTCTGTGGCAAATGGGATTGCGGGCAGTGTGCACAGGTTGCAGCTCTGCCACCGTTTGAATGTCAAAAGAAAGCAGGGAAATTAGCACTTGGCTAACTCATCACAGGGACGCGGGTGGCACTGTGGGTTAAACCACAGAGCCTAGGACTTGCCGATCAGAAGGTTGCCGGTTCAAATCCCCGCGACGGGGTGAGCTCCCGTTGCTCGGTCCCTGCTCCTGCCAACCTAGCAGTTCGAAAGCACGTCAAAGTGCAAGTAGATCAATAGCTACTGCTCCGGCGGGAAGGTAAACGGCGTTTCTGTGTGCTGCTCTGGTTTGCCAGAAGTGGCTTAGTCATGCTGGCCACATGACCCGGAAGCTGTATGCTGGCTCCCTCGGCCAATAAAGCGAGATGAGGGCCGCAACCCCAGAGTCGGTCACGAATGGACCTAATGGTCAGGGGTCCCTTTACCCCTTTACCTTTACTAACTCATCACAAATAATGATAAACACACACACACCCCACTGGAAACTAGTAGCATGTGCCATCCTAGTTGAGCATTACTGCAAACCTTGGGAGCTGTGAAAATGTATTTGGGCCAGTGCTAGACAAAGGTCTACCTAAAGGCCTTCTGAACATTGGAGTGTCAGTCAGGCGTCGAAAACAGATGTTGACCTATTATAATGTAGGCTTCAGTTACCTACATGTTTGGTGTGAATATTAGCTTTAAAAGGTTGTATCCAGTGAGGTCACTCAGCTGGCACCTGACAATAAGCCTTCAGGCATCAGAATGAGGAGAGAAGCCATTTTCAGTTATTCCTCCTCTCACTTGCAGCCCCACCCCACCCGTTTCCCCTAAACCTACTCTGAAGGGTTTCCCAATCCTCTGGAGCAGATTTATGAGTGTGGGAGGTTTAGGGTGGAAGAAGAAAGAATCATGGGCAATTACTTCCTTGCCATCAGCAGAGTGGTACCATTGGAGACAACCCATCAATGTTTTTCAAGCAGGGCTCCATGGAACCCTTGGGTTTTGTGAACTCCCCCCTCCCCCAGGATTCCATGAAGTTTTGTAATGATGAAATAGATTTCTTTCTTTTTTAAAAATGATATTTATTAAGGTTTCCCAAAAAAAGGTTACATATATATATATAAAAAAAGAGAAAATACAAAATACATAAAAAATAAAAGAAACTTAAAAAACAAATCAATCTTTCCATACCTTACATTTCATTTACTTGTTTCCCTGACCTCCTCTCGCCTCCCTTTTTTGTATTCCAGTTCAATTGATTAATTCAGCAATTCCTTTCCCTCTTTATTTTTATCTTAATCCTTTAACTTAATATATTATAGCTTTAGATTCTCAACTGTTAACAATCCATTTTTACATACACCTTTATAACATTGCTACTAAAACCACTTAACTTCATTCTGACATCATTCTAACATTCATTAATTTTGCAGTATTTCTGTAAATAGTCTTTAAATTTCTTCCAATCTTCTTCCACCGACTCTTCTCCCTGGTCTCGGATTCTGCCAGTCATTTCCGCCAGTTCCATGTAGTCCATCACCTTCATCTGCCATTCTTCCAGAGTGGGTAAATCTTGTGTCTTCCAGTACTTTGCAATAAGTATTCTTGCTGCTGTTGTGGCATACATAAAGAAAGTTCTGTCCTTCTTTGGCACCATTTGGCCAACCATGCCCAGGAGAAAGGCCTCTGGTTTCTTCAAGAAGGTATATTTAAATACCCTTTTCATTTCATTATAAATCATCTCCCAGAAGGCCTTAATCCTTGGGCACGTCCACCAAAGGTGAAAGAATGTACCTTCAGTTTCTTTACATTTCCAACATTTATTATCGGGCAAATGATAGATTTTTGCAAGCTTGACTGGTGTCATGTACCACCTGTAAATCATTTTCATAATATTCTCTCTTAAGGCATTACATGCCGTAAACTTCATACCTGTGGTCCATAACTGTTCCCAGTCAGCCATCATTATATTATGTCCAACATCTTGTGCCCATTTAATCATAGCAGATTTCACCATTTCATCCTGAGTATTCCATTTCAACAGCAAGTTATACATCTTTGACAAAATCTTGGTTTTGGGTTCTAACAATTCTGTTTCCAATTTTGATTTTTCCACCTGGAAGCCAATTTTCTTGTCCAAATTGTATACCTCCATTATCTGATAATAATGAAGCCAATCTCGCACTTTATTTTTTAGTTTTTCAAAACTCTGCAATTTCAATCTGTCTCCCTCTTGTTCCAAAATTTCCCAATATTTCGGCCATTTGGCCTCCATATTGAGCTTTTTCAAAGCTTTCGCTTCCATCGGTGACAACCACCTTGGGGTTTTATTTTCAAGTAAGTCCTTGTATCTTATCCAGACATTAAACAATGCTTTCCTGACAATATGATTTTTAAATGCTTTGTGTGCTTTAACCTTATCATACCACAAATATGCATGCCATCCAAATACATTATTAAAGCCTTCTAAATCCAAAATGTCTGTGTTTTCAAGAAGCAGCCATTCTTTCAGCCAGCAAAAAGCTGCTGATTCATAATAAAGTTTAAGGTCTGGCAGGGCAAATCCACCTCTTTCCTTTACATCCGTTAGTATTTTAAATTTTATTCTTGGCTTCTTGCCCTGCCAGACAAATCTAGAAATATCTCTCTGCCACTTCTTGAAGCAATCCATTTTATCCAAGATTTGCAATGTTTGAAACAAAAACAACATTCTAGGCAATACATTCATTTTTATCGCAGCAATACGGCCTAGCAATGAAAGCTTCAAATTTGACCAGATTTCTAAATCTTTTTTCACTACCAATATTTCTTACTACCAATATTCCTTACGATTTTTACTTTGTATATGTTCGAGGGGTAGCATTTTATAATTGTTAAATAAACAACAGGGGTGACAGTAAGAGGAGGTTGGGGTTTTGCAGGATGTCACAGCAGGATACAGTTGTTCCTCAACCCTGGAAAGAGTTGAATATCACTGGTCTAGACAATCCAGATACTGTAGCCACAGATTGGCCACCAAGGTAGTTTGCCTCTAGAAATACAAAGACTTTGCAGCCCCTTTCCAAGACAAGAAATCTGGGTTTACTGGATGTGCAAGGGTGGAGTAGGGTTGTGGGAGTGCTTTTCTTCTAGGAAAAAAAAGGTGCCAGTACTGTGTACCCTTGAGTATGTGCAGAAAAGAAGCACTGGGTTGTGGTAGCAAGCACATTGACTTAGACTACATGTATTCAGTAGACTGTGACAACAGGCCCCATGCTCACAGGCTTTGTGCACATGACTCTGCAGGGTTTTCTATCACCTAGACAAGCTTATACAGTGGTACCTCGGATTACATACGCTTCAGGTTACATTCACTTCAGGTTACAGACTCCGCTAACCCAGAAATATTACCTCGGGTTAAGAACTTTGCTTCAGGGTGAGAACAGAAATCGTGCTCCGGCGGTGCAGCAGCAGCGGGAGGCCCCATTAGCTAAAGTGGTGCTTCAGGTTAAGAACAGTTTCAGGTTAAGAACGGACCTCCGGAACGAATTAAGTACTTAACCCAAGGTACCATTGTACACGACAGCTTTTGTCCAGTTGAGAGGTCGGTCACATCAGTCAGAAGTTGAACCAGTGGGAATGAAATTGGAATTAGAGACGCAGTCAAATGTTATATTCTTTCCATCAGCCATTGTAAGCCTACATATTGCCTCTTGTAAATCAGCCTTAATGCCACTTCCCAACCATTTTAGTTCTAGTGCAGACTTGACTGTGACATAGGCTAGTACTGCACATGCTGCTGCCTTCTCTAATAGCACTGTGTGCTACTATGTTTTGCCAGTCTCTCTGCCCATGCATGTGTCTATCATGCTCATGCTTTGTATGTGCGCTTCCCATAGGCTTTGGGTTGGCCACTGTGGGAGCAGAAGGCTGCACTAGATAGGCATTTGGTAGGATGTGGCAGGACTTCTCACACATTCATCTCATGTGCTGCATCTCATTTTCCTTTCCAGCCTAGAGAAGAACTCCTTAGGGAAATGATTCATAATACAACCCAGTGTTACTGTATAACTAAAAATCACCTAACAAGGTAATTACAAATAGGAGCAGCAACATCACTACATGCTCTCTTCCTAATAGATCATTAGCATGTCCATAGCAGAGCCCCATCATGACTGTGGGTAGGGAAGCTTCTTTTCGTGACCAGTTGTTTCTTGTTAAATTCCCTGGATTGGGAAATTGCCCAGTAATTTTGCTCTTCATAATTCTGTGTAATGGTCTAAACTAGTGGTTCCCAATTAACTAAGTACTGCGGACCCCCTGTTTTCAAAAGCCAAGCCATGGACCTCCTAATTTGCAAAATTTTGCTATCTCTATGGTAGCTTTTGTTATGTGAATGGGGCCATGGATCCCCAGGGTGGATTACACAGAGCCCCTGGGGTCCGCAGACCACCGGTTGAGAACCACTGGTCTAAACACTAGGAATAAAATGAGGCGGGGGCTGTTCCTTATTCCTAAAACTATTATGTGTACCCTAAGTTAAAAAGCAATTTTGGCCAAATCTTTCCCTCTTGTCTCCCCAGCCTGAGACTCTGAAAGAGCTTGTCACATTGGACCTTCCCATAATCACAGTAACTCATGAGCTCCAAAACATTGTGGGTAATTAATTGGAAGGAAGCAGTACCTGAAAACAGCAGGTGGCTTGCTGCCTACACGTATTTCTAATATTAGTTTAACACCAGTGTGTTTGGAAACGGTAAACAAATTCTGGTTAGATAAAAAACAGAGCAAACACCAACTGCTCACATACTCGGAGCCATCAGATAATATTTATTTGTTATTTTGGATATATTCATTAGTGAAAGGTATCATTTCACTACACAAAGGAATCAAGCCTGTCTACTGCAACTTCAGCCTCTGAGCATGGAGGGATCCCCCAAAGGACACAACAGAGTTCTGTTTTCCCGTTCTTGGTGTATATTCACAGATATAACCCCAGATCATTCCTGGGAATGGGAGGCCTGTGCAGGCCACCTATACCTCATGCCTAGCTTGCCACTTCTAGCTTGGCCTCAGAAAATGGGAGACACATAGGATTCCTGCCCACCTTTAACGCCTGATTTCCTGAGTGGGCTTGCCAGGACAGGAGGGGGTAGGCTGGGCTCTACTTCACTGGATCAAACCCAAATTAAATAGCACAGCTACCAAATGGTTACATCTGGAGCTCTTTTGGAAATACAATTGATTGACTTAAGTGGGGCTAGCCTGTTTGTTTATGGTAGGGCAACACTGTATTTGCATATTGCTGTATTTTTGGCTTCCACTGCTTACAGACTTAAAGTAAATGTAATTTTCTAATAAATATTAATATGCATTTTAAAGAATATCTTTCTTCCCAATGTGAAGCTCATCTTCTTTTCATCACAGTGTGCTTATGATCTGAGCCAGCTCTGGTTGTTTTAATAATCATTTTTTACGATTCCTCAAGGCATACTGAACAGCAGAGATATGTCACTAGAGTCCTATATTAATACGCTTCCATAGTAATGATTAATTTAACGTCATGGAGATTATAAGAATTAAAAACACATAATCAATCATAAGAGGTTTATTGCACTGGTTGATGTATACAATCTATTAACCGGTCTTTTTGTTTTAATTGGATATTATTTGCTAATGTTTCTTGAAGACATTCTTATTAATGGGTACAGTCAAAACTTCAGGAAGTCAAGTTGGAAAGCTCACGATAAAATTTAGCATACATGTTTCCTACATTTTACTAGCCCCTAAAAACCCACAACACAAACACAATTTTTAGATCACAAAAGATGAGCTTGTTTGTTCAAAAATGGTGCCAGAATTGGCTTTTAGTATGGATTATACCAGAAAAAGCAGAAAATTGATGTACAATTGAGACTGTGCATTCTAGAAATTTAGGAATTGTATTCAGTCTTATATTCATGGTAGCTGACTGGAAAACTTTCCTGTTGGACTCCTGGGTTTCCATCAGGTCTGCAGTTGACATTTCAAACAGGAATGGTGCTAATTGACAATAAAACTGTCTGCTTCCTCCTGGTGAGGAAGGCTGAAGCTTAGGTGAGAGCTGCTGTTTTAGCAATGAAGTAGATTAAACCGGGGGCTTATATAGGTGCTGGAGACTCCGCCCCTTCCTGCTCTAATTCAAGCAAATGTCTCCATATCCTTCCCCCAGCAGCCCCATGGACAGCTGACTGAGCATTCCAAGACTGGCTCTGAAGCTCCAGCCTGGGCTGCTATCTCCTCTGCTCCTGTGAAACTGGATGAGATGTGTGGGGCTTAGAGCCCACCAGGAACCCAAGCAGCTGTTGTGGCGACATTCAGCTCTGCAGCGGGGGGTGTCCAGATTCAGTGGCTCTTAGGATCATTGATAGTGTTGAGATCTGCTGGAGAGTCCTGATTACTTGCTGCTCACCTGAGATGGTCTGAGCAGGGCTGAACCCTAACAAAAACTATGTGAAATCATAACCTTTGAGTGGGGGGTCTGCATACCAGTGGTCACTCACAATAGGTTTATCTGCTAAACCATAGGAATGTAGCAAAAGCAATGATTTCATATTTGTTTGTTGTGTTGTGTTTAGAGGATGAGGACAGGGGAATGATCACATAACATGGGTGAGTGTGCTTTTAAGTGGTAATTTTTTTAGTAAAAGAATTAAAATCCTGAAAGGTACTGAAATGATTTCTAATACAAACAGGATCAGCAATAGCTTTTAAAGGATTGCTAAAGGACCAAATGTGATTTAAACTGTAATAGATATTGATTTCTATATTAGTGTTTCTGCTCCTTGTATTGCATATCTGCTGCCATTTGCTAAAACAAGAATGACATTTTTCATGGTATTGACTGTAAAGTGAGCTGAATAGCAGTAGTCCTCTACTCTGCTTTAGATCTTGAAAATAATTTTATGCAAACAATAATGGTTAAGGTTCATAAGGCTGCATTCCCTGGGCTTTCAAATGATATACCAAGTATTCGAGAAATGTAGACAAAAAGACTGCGAGGAGCCTAATGAGCTATATCTTTGTGGGTATGAATTTCCCAGAAACAATATTAGCAAGCGTTCCTTAACAATAATGCAAGTTACCAAAGCAGTCATCACAGGATGACAATAGGAATGGCAGTGAGATTCAGATTTAATGCAAACCTACCCAATTTACGGGATGCGGGTGGTGCTGTGGGTTAAACCACAGAGCCTAGACTTGCGGATCAGAAGGTCGGCGGTTCGAATCCCTGCCACGGGGTGAGCTCCCATTGCTCGGTCCCTGCTCCTGCCAACCTAGCAGTTTGAAAGCACGTCAAAGTGCAAGTAGATAAATAGGTACTGCTCCGGCGGGAAGGTAAACGGCGTTTCCGTGCGCTGCTCTGGTTCATCAGAAGCGGCTTAGTCATGCTGGCCACATGACCCGGAAGCTGTACGCCGGCTCCCTCAGCCAATAAAGCGAGATGAGCGCCGCAACCCCAGAGTCAGTCACGACTGGACCTAATGGTCAGGGGTCCCTTTTCCTTTACCTTACCCAATTTACACTTCCCAAAACAGTATGCCAACAAAAAACAACAGCTATCCTTTGAAATCTGCACTTCTCTAAATTTTGTGGTGCAGAAATCTTAACAAAAAAAATGTGTAACTTAGGGGAAAGTGTGCATAAAAATGTATATATAAGTGAAAATGGCATGCAGAAATGCATTATATAAGGGAAGACTGTTTGCAAAAATGTGTATAGGAGCTCAAAACGGGGTGGGACCCAGCTTCAGGCATGCTTGCAGAAAACTGACTATCTAGACTTCTTTCAATCTGGTTTCAAAGCAGGCTTGGCTGCCCTGGTTGATTACTTTTGTTGGGAGTAATATAAGTGATTCCATTGAATTAAATGGAGAGGCCTGCTCACATTGTAGTTTTGGGTGTGCTTTGGAATACCGTACTTGTATTCTGAGAAGGAATGCATCACATTATAGGTAGGTATCCCCATACGTTTTGTGATGGCTTTTAAGAAGGGATATGGGGGAAAAACATGATATGAAAAATAGGGGGAGATGGGATGGGGCTTGTGAGCTTCATAAAGATCTCCCCTACATGTTCCTCCTTAATCCCAACCCTGGTGGTGATGAATCTGAATCACAAGCAGTTCTACAAACAATCATCAGCATTCTCTGAATGAAGAGAGGCTCAACAGTAGTGATGTGCAAGTCTCGTGCTTAAATTAATGCTCTGCTGCTATCTCAGCCGCCATTGTTCACTTGATTCCAGCTGACCTTCACCCTACCTGATCTCCATCTCCTCCTTACCATTACAATTGTAAAATTAGCCCGTTATATATTCTGATAAACAAATGGATAGGTCATACAAACCACAGTCTCTAGTCCTTTAGTCATGGACTCAGCCATTAAACCCAGATGCACTCTGCTTTTCTGCGGCTGTGCGTATTAAAGATGTCTATGTTTCCAAAGAGCTTTATTGAAGCTCAACGTCCCCCCAAATGGCCTTGCGTTTTCATGTCAGAAGCTGTTATTTTTGAGCATGCCTGTGGGGTTAAAGGGGAGACAATTAGAAGTTTGAGACAGTGTTTGTTTAAATTCCTGATGAATTATACAAAGTCTGCATGTTTATCAGAAGACTTGTCATTTTGGTAAGACAGAATGATGGGAACAAACACATTTAGTGAAGAATCCCACGTCAAAGGGAATGCAATTAATCTTCACTAAACCATTCTCTCATGTGTTTTTACCAGAATGAGACAAACACGCTGTATAGGCCTTTAACAATTCTAGAGACAAGGACAGTGCTAGGAATCCGAGATAACTTTTCCTTATCAGAAGGCTTTTCAAGTAACTGTAGATTATTTTGTGCCATGCTGTGCAGTTAAATGTCAAAGGATACATTTAGACAAAAGGTAACTGATACAGAAACGATTATTGGGGTCTTCAGCAGAATCTTTTGAAATGAGGCTGTATTTCTACTTTAATTTAGGTCACATAAATAGTTCTGCCTTCCCCTGCATACTTGTCTGCTTAAGCTATGTGTGTAGCCTTCTAAAAACCAAAGCAATAGCAAAGGCAATCTGTTGAGCCATGTACTGTGTATGTTGTCCAGCTTATCGGTAAATTTCAAAACAAATGATACAGTCCAATAATTTGTTCTTCCAAGTTTATAATGCTGGTGAAGTTTACAAAGAGATACGGTAACTTCCCCTGCTACTGCTTTCATGTTCAGAGAGTAAAAACAGGGGAAATGTTTATTTGCATTATTCAATTTAAAATATCAAAACAGGGGACTGCTTAGTAGTCCTCAAAACTGACTTGAGAACCTAGGAGAATATGCACACTGTAATCCGAAGTTGGGACGCGGGTGGCCTAAACCACTGAACCTAGGGCTTGCCAATCAGAAGGTCGGCGGTTTGAATCCCCGCAACGGGGTGAGCTCCCGTTGCTTGGTCCCAGCTCCTGCCAACCTGTACAAGTAGATAAATAGGTACTGCTCCGGTGGGAAGGTAAACGGCATTTCTGTGCGCTGCTCTGGTTTTAGTCATGCTGGCCACATGACCCGGAAAAACTGTCTGCGGACAAACGCTGGCTCCCTTGGCCAGTAAAGTGAGATGAGCGCCACAACCCCAGAGTCGTCTGCGACTGGACTTAACTGTCAGGGGTCCTTTTCCTTTTCCTTTTTAATCTGAAGTTAGAACTGCCTGCTGTCAAAAGGTGTCTGTGGATGATGAGCAAAGAATGCAAGCTTAACTTGAAGTGAAAAATGGGGAAATGTTCTTTAGTACCTTATTAAGAGGCAATAATGCTGCATAAGTGTTATCCTCCATGCAATCATTTGGAGGAAGAGAACGGTGCTGTACTTGCTGACCCCACCCCTGCCATCACACTGCTGGTTCCACAGCTATCCATGCATTGGGAGAAGGGCTGCAAGAAGGATCCTGCTCTATATTCATTACAAGGTTCTAAACTTTAGATTCTAAATCATGGGGGAAGCTTATATGTGTAGAGAAGTCTCCCTTCTTTTCTCAGCATATGGATGCCAGGGTGTGTAGAGGACCCGGTCACAAAGATGATAATGGCCAAATATGGCTAATTTAAATGAGTGGGTAGACAAGAGCAAGAAACTCTGCATTCTTCCCCAAAGCGGTTTAACCATTTTTAGTTTCCATCAACCCTGTAAGTTTATTTCCAAAAGTCATCTCCACTGCTTTATGTTTACTTCTTCTTTGAAATGTTATGCAACAGTCAGATACATGAGACTTCTGGTTTATTGAGATATCTCTGTTTCTGGTACAATAATTACTATTCGACAGATAAGATATTTAAGCTGGCAGGTCTCATGTGTACTAAATATAGGAACAACACATTCTTAAACAAAGTAAATACGGTAAGCCTGCAACTTAACATGCATTTAACCTGTGCACATTCAACTTTACGTGTGTGGCAATAATTAATTAATTAATTAATTAATTAATAGTGGAGGGATGGTGTTCTGGGGGAAATGACATTGGCAATCCCCCTCACCATTGAACCCAATGGGTTTTGACTATATGTGATTTTGGCTTTTGATGTGATTCCCAGAACGTAACCCCCACGTAAGTTGTGAGCTTGCTGTATAGCAATAGCAAAACACATATTGGGTACCACACAAAAGTCTAAGAAGAGGGTGTCATGCCCAGAGGCTCTGTTGCTGATCTTATTCAAATTCTCAGTTGCACAAGGGTATACCTTCAGAAGTAATGAAGAAATAGGTTTAAAAGAGGAGGCATCCCAAAGCTATAGGGAGCCCTGGGGTCCCCTGGTGTGGGTTATGGAGGCATCAGACACCGACCCTGACACTCCTCCAAGACCTAGTCACACAGAGCCTGTTGAGGTGGAACCTAACAAGGCAGAAATTCCTGGGCCAGAAGCCCCTACAGACGATCCCAATTCTTTCTCTCATTGACCTTGCAAGCTCATACTCACACATAGTAAAAGTGAGAAGACATAACTAAACAGTGCTGGAATGAAAAGCTTCAATCACAAGGTCTGCACTTTAAACATCTTATCCCCACCATGAGAGGATGGAGCTTCAGAAAGTTATCCAGGCTTTGATTACACACGTATCCAGGACCAGTCCATTTTTCTGCAGAAACAGTAGTCATGTATAATCTGCTTTCATTTCCAAATTCCCATTTGTGCCTAATGCAGCACACAGAACAATCTAGTGGGCAGTCTACTCTTCAACAGCAACACACTCAGATCATGATTACCATTCATTTAGCTCAGCAGATTACAAATGAAAAGTACAAATTATGGCATGCCATCTCCCTCTTCCTATTTGAAAAGACCTCATTCTCTCTTGACTGAAAAGGGAGGGCAATCATGAGAAGGTTAGCTTTTTGACACTCTTTACCATCTCTAATATATACCTTGAGGGTTTGGAGGAGCAGGTGTTTTAGAAACACAGCTGTATTTTTGGTAGGGTATGTTCTATTTCGGGACGCGGGTGGCGCTGTGGTCTAAACCACTGAGCCTCTAGGGCTTCCCAATCGAAAGGTTGGTGGTTTGAATCCCCGCGTTGGGCTGAGCTCCTGTTGCTCGGTCCCAGCTCCTGCCAACCTAGCAGTTAAAAAGCACGTCAAAGTGCAAGTAGATAAATAGGTACCGCTCCGGCAGGAAGGTAAACGGCGTTTCCGTGCGCTGCTTGGGTTCGCCAGAAGCGGCTTAGTCATGCTGACCACATGACGCCGGCTGCCTCAGCCTGAAAAGCGAGATGAGTGCCACAACCTCAGAGTCGTCTGCGACTGGACTTAACTGTCAGGGATCCTTTAACCTTTTTTTATGTTCTATTTAGGGGTTAATATCAGGGCTGGTCAACTGAGGCAAGGGGAAATGACTGCTTCAGGTGGCAGGATGCATAGGGGCAGCATTTCTGACCTCCAAGGAATGCATTACCTACTGCTGCTGCCATGGTGGCAGCAACAGCTGTGGCACACTCCTTAGAAGCCTGATGCGCCACCTCCTCAGCAGCCCTCGCCCAATGCCACATCCACAACAGCTTCTCAGTGAATAGGAGGCTCTGCTGGTCTCCTCCCACCCCAGGGA